CAAAGCAAAGCATTTATTTTGGGGGTTATTTCCAATGGCTAGATAGGAGTTTTTCACATTTTCTATTTCAGTCATTAGAATACTACTGCTGAAAGGGGCGCTTAGCAGCCAGCTATGCACACTTGCAATAATTTTGAGCTTTGCTCCCGTCTCATCTCTTAGGCAAAGGGAGCGGCGGATGCTGGAGGGCCTCGAGTATCAGGAAGTTTTAATAAATCACAGTCTTCAAAGCTGATAGAAGTCGAAGTCAAGCAATGAAGCAAGACTTGGGACCGTTCCCCAGGGCGGCCCTCCCCACGCTTCTCTGACCACTTCCGTTCTAAGATTGGGAATGAGGAATAAAAAATTAGCAGATGTAGGAGATCAAACGTGTGTGTGAGCCCGTGTGTGCATTTACACACATGTGTGAGTGTATACATGAGTGTGAGCCTATGTGCATTTACACATTCATACATATGTGTATATGAGTGCAAACCTGTGTGCACGCACACACACAAATGTATGTGAGTGTGTATTTGAGTGTGTGAGAGCATTATACACATCTGTGACCATGTTTGAGTCTTGTGTGCATTTACACACAGGTACGTGAGTGTGGATTGTGTGACAGGTTGTGTACACACAGGCCAGCACAGACAAGGGTGAACTCTTCACAAATCTGAAGTGAAGAAGTTAAAAGAGCGGGTTTTGAGGACAGCAAGAGGCAGGGGGAAAGTGTATGGAGAGGAGACTCAGGACGGGCTGCAGGGCTTCAGCAAAGCCCTCACCTGGTGCTTAGACAATGTAACGATTTTCCCAGGAAAACAGGCTCAGGCGTCACTCCCAGTTCCAGACTTTCCTAGTGAAGACTCTGTTCTTTGGCTCTGAGCTAATCTACCAAAGACAGTTTTATTAACCACAGAGCACAGAACTTTCAACAATCAATATCTCGGAGATAAACCTGCCATTTTGCTTTCATTTTGCTTTAATATTTTCTGAACAGAACTTAATGGATTTCTGGATTTACAATGAAACGGAGAGGGGAAAATGACTAATAGTGTAAACATTAGCACCTTCAGCATTAAAAGGACAATTATAAGTCAAAAATCTCTTATTGCACTTTCACAGTTGGAACACTTATTAACCACGTGACATGATGCTGAATAGTGACGATACGTCATGATTAAACCTCTAACATGGCATATAGGTCGTATGATTCTTTACTAAAGTTTTAAATAAAACTTCTTTGTGTTGAGTGCTGTGGCTGCCTTTCTTTCTCTTGTGTTCCCTTACCTAATTCAGATGTGCTCCAAATTGTTTTGGTTATCTCCTGCTGAAGTTCTTAGTTCTTAAGAATCAGGAATATAGAGGTATGAATGTTGTTTATATGCATTTATGGTGTAATCATCCTGCTGGCAGGAAATGCTATTTCCCCAAAACATGGTGCATGCTGCCACCTCGTGGTAAGAGTGGGAACATGTGAAAATTTAAAAATAACAACAACAACAAAACAAACCCTAGAGAAAGCGATGGTCATGGAAACTGCCCGTGTGTCCGTCTGAATTTTGAGCATTGTTCTTTAGCATTACTAGTAAGCCTGGCTGCTGTTTTATCGCAAGTACACCTTAACTTCGAGTTTCTCCCATGTAACTTTAGGAAATAAGGGGGCAGGCTCTAAAGAGGCGGTAGCTTTGGACCTATGTGCCCTGAATTTCTAAGTCGAATTCGTCCTTGACAAAATGGTAGAACACGTGCCCTCCAGCAGCAGTGAGAGAGCGAAGACACCAGGCTGCAGTGCAGTGTCTGAGAAAGTCTCGGTTTGTGCCGTGTTTGGAAACCACGGCCCTGAAGGTCCCTTCTCTGCCCGGATCACGCCGGCCAGGGTGTGCAGCGCTTGGGGGTGCTTGGGTGTGCAGCGGGGCCGAGTTTAGCGCTTCTCGGTATTACTTATCAATGCAAACAGTCTGCGAGTGGTCATGACAAGTGTGAAAATGTGAAGCCATGCACCGGTTTTAAAAGATGCAAATTTTAAAACATCATGCCTCTGGCCTCAGAGAACTTGCGAGAAAGATGGTAAGCCTATATGAAGTGTTGAAAGCTCTGAAAAATTATAAAGGATTGAAGGGAAAGATAATTTCCTGTTAGATCGGAATATGTCAGAGCCGTGTGGGTAAGAGAGTTCTGGTACGACTGGGTGGCTGAGTGAGGAAGGGGTGTTCAGGGACAGACGCAGGACAGGAACGAGGGACCAGGGAGCCTCCAGGACTGTGCTGGCCGAGGGGGCAGGTCCCCTCAGCACACGACAGAAATGAGACTCTTTCATAATCCATTGCCTATCTGCATTCAAGTGAGATAAATACTCAGGCAGAAGCAGGAAAGTTCAGAAACCGATAGATTTTCTTTCTGGTGTCTGAGAGACAAAACTGCCTTTTGTCCAAGGAGTGTAAATCGTTGCACGTTTGTGTCTCAGCCTGGGCAAGATTTGCTTGTTTGTTTTACTGTTGTTTGCACAGCAATTCTAAATATATGAGCAACGGTAGGGAGGAAATGGTGAAACGGTGTCTGAGAGGACCCCAGTGGACCGGCACACCGGTGTGATCACTGGAGGGAAAGAGGTGGGTCAGGATGTCACTTACCCAACAGTCCCAGCTTACCTGCCACCTGCCCCGTCCGACTACCACCACTTAGGAACCGATGCGGGACATTGGCAGTTTGTAAGACGTTGTCGCAACTACAGAACAGCAGAACCTGGAGCGAAGTCACATTTGGAGAATTTGGAATTCATATCTCAGTACTCTTACCAACACACTATTACTGTATTTCACTCAATTGTAGAATGAAAAGTCATTTCTATGTGTTGTTTATAAACCAACCCATTCTATTTAATAGTAATTATAATAATGTTTCCAACTCGTTCTGGAAGGTTAGTAAGTATTTATGCTCTTTTAAGGGAGTTCTTCACTTGGCAGGTAACTGGACTCTCAAAGAGACTGCAATTTATTAGGTAACATGTCTTGTACATATTTTTACTGAGCATCTCGCAGCCATTCTGATCGATTTGCAGAAAACTTGTCGTGCACATTTTGACAACACTCATTCCCCACTAAACAGACCCCGTCAGTTCTGTGATAGTCAGTGTGGCTGACGACAGAAATTCAAATGTGGTTTCTTAGGAGCAAGGAGATTTGGGCAATGATATCCTGGGTCATTAAATTTTACATCCTAACAGGCTAACAATCCACTAGCCCAGTAGAATGTGAAGCAGCAAACTTTTCCAAACGCCTATTGAACATTTGCTACTCTTCAATCCTTTTTTCTTTTTCAAAATGACTGTTACGTCTTTTTACTCTTTAACCAGGGACCTAAAGTCAAAGGAGAGGTAGTGAGGAGGAAGGAACTTCATTCTTCTGGGAAGGGGTGGGGGAGATGGCCTGGATTCACTTACTGGCCAGATCTTTGTTTTACTGTTTGATTTTCAAGACTTGAGTGTTTGGGTTCTATTTCTCTTTTAAGAACTCCTCTAAGAGTGTTAAAATATACTAATTTGCATTCTGCAAGACATTTGCCTGATAATTTTGATTTATTTAGTAAATAGAACACGCGGTGTGTGCCAACCACCTCCCCCAGGTTTGACTGCTCCCGGCTTAATTGCCCTTGGCCGGGAGCCTTAGTGAAATCATGAACAGTGATGAGCACACCTTTTTATGTAGTATGTATTATATACTCTATTTCTATAGTAAAGTAAGCTAGAGAAAAAATTATAAGGAAAATACATTTACAGGATTTATTGAAAAACATGCATGTATATCTGGACCTGTGCAGGTCAAAAGTCATTGTACATTTAAAAATGGCGACTTCCTAAACTACCTGCCGTCTGTGGTCTGAAGGGGAAAAGCTCCCTTAACGTGACTTCGGTGTCTGCATAATACTGCTTGTTAATGAAGCTGGCTGACCGGCCACTCTCAGCTACGTGTCGTACCAAGTCTGTGTTGGATCTAGGATTGCTAGAATGCCCAGTCTCCCAAGAGCCACAGAAGCATTTTTGGAAATGGCAACCCCTAAGACTGCATTGTGCCAGACGTACGGGGTGGTCACGAAGGTCAAAACCAGAGTTAGCTTCACAGCGTGGCCTGTACACTGGAAGCCCTGACTCGGTTCTGCCCTAGAAACAGGTTCTTCTGAGTATCCGGCTGCTCTGGCCGCGAAAGGGGTGCATTTCTCCCAGTGTCGGTGTCAGGTCCCACACTGTCCTCCCAACATTCAGCCCTTCACCCTCCGCCATATTTATGCAGCCACATTCCTCATAATATCGTGCATCTTCTTGCAGTTGCCTCCAGAGCCCTGACAGTATGTTGCAACCTGGGAGTCATGGACCAGAGTTAAGAGCAAGTGTGAAATCCATGCAATGTGGACTAATTTCACATAGGTCTCTGCCTCTAACTGTGTATGTTGAACGTTGATGGGGGTAATCCGTGTTTTCCTTAGGCTGATCGGGATAAATTTTCTCCTGTTCTGAGTTCCATCAGCCTCTTTGTTTTTTCATATGCTAAATTAGTATGACTGGGTTTGGTCTGAAACCTAAGATTTTTGTTAGTATTTTTAAGCATGCATTTTTAAAAATTATTTCAATATTTCAGTTACATCCTTTGGCCCAGTACAGCTAAGCTCATACAGATAAAATGGGAAGCATAATGCTATGTCTGAGATGGGCACTTCGGTTTTGCTAACTGAGTGCACTGAGTTAAAAAAATAAAGGAACCCTATGCCCACGGACTTCATTTTCCCCACGGACATTTCCTCTCCTGTTTTATCTGCTGAGCAGCTCTAGGGGAGCGCCCGCTCTGCTCCGCACAGGAGACGTAATTTACACCCCGGCGACACTTCTGAGAATGGAAGGTCAGGCCCAGTATCTCGAGCTGCCCGCTGGCAGATGAGCTCGGTGCTCTTTTGCTTGCAGGCGTGCGGCCGAGTGCTTTGCACCGAGCGCTGCTCACAGCCCCGTGTCTCCCTCTCCTTGCTTCCAGCCCCCTGCGAAGGCAGCGCCTTCTTCTGCCATAGCAACATGTGCATCAACAGCTCCCTGGTCTGCAATGGCCTCCAGAACTGTGTGTATCCTTGGGACGAGAACCACTGCAAAGGTAAAGACGGATCCTTGACTGGGCACGGTCCCCCGCCCTGAGGTGGCCGGGACACTCTCGCCCATGTGACATGTCTTAGACGGTCTCAGAAACAGAGAGCAGAATGGCTTGTATGAGCTGTGGGTGCTTCAGAGTCGATTGCAGAGCTGTGTGCTCTGCCATTTCCGGTGCCGTGGCCAGAACGTTCTAATGCGTTAAGGCCCAGGGGACCCTCAGGAGCCCTCGCAAGTTCCCTTTTGTTCGGATTCAGCATGACCGGTTTGTGAAGGGAAAGGACAGGCAGGTCCCACTGCTGTGCTGCAAGTCTGGTCTCATCAGGTACGAGCCAGACCCAGCCCACAGTGGCCGGGGTCCGGTGGTCAGTGAGAAAGGCAGAGCCCCCGTCCACTTCTGGAAGGGGGGAGGTGGCGATGACCGGTTTCCTGTCCCAGGAACCACTTTGGAGTGGATGGTCACTCAACTATTGTATGAAGAGCTAGGCCATTCCCCTCGCCTTTGAGATTTTCATCAGCTCCAGCACCGCCCACTCTGGTCCCATGCAGGGCAGGGCCGGTGACCACCTGTCCTGCTTAGGAACAGGCCTGGGCGGGGGTGGTGACACCTGGGCCTCTCAGCTGGCCTCCCTGATGGCCCCCAGGCCCCTGCCTCTGCCCCCGCCTGCTGGCAGTGAGTGAGCTGGGCCCCACCTCCTCCACCCCCTGCACCTGGGCCTGAGCCTCTGTGCTCCGGGGGCCCTGCCTGGGCGGAGCATCCTCACACAGGTGGGGGAGCCGTGCTGGCTGTGCTGGCCGTGCTGGCTATCGGGGAGGTGATGTCACTCGGGTCTGGGAGCTGGAGGGAGAGGGGCCCTGCGTTGCCAAGTCTCTCAGAGCAGGAGACCTTTGCTCAGGGTGTCCTGGGGGCTGCAGGAGCTCAGAGCCCCAGACTCTCACTGACCTGAGGGAACTGAGAGGTGGTTCTGAGGATGCCGCCTCCACGCGCTGTTGGTCGTTAGGGCCGTTGCTCAGGCCCCACATTGTTGGGGGTTTTAAACACGATTTTTACCAATTAGGGTTGTTTCACTGGGGAAACGGCCCACAGACGCCTGCATGCCACCATTCCAGAAGTGTCTGTCTTGGAGTTCAATTGCCTTTTGGGGTCAGATTATTGTTAGTACTTTGAGTTCAGTTATCCATGTTGGAAATAAACTCACAAAACTGTGGGTGCAGCCATGGGCCCAATGGTTGAGCCTGGAGGTTTTCTCAGACCTTTGAGAAAAAAAATACTGTCTTTGAAAGTAAGAAATCGTTCTCAAATGTCACCCGGAAAGCCTCACGAGACCTTCCCCAACCTTATATTTACATCTGAAGCAGGGGATTGGACGATAGGAGAAGCATTATTACGTAATGCGTCTGAGGCTGGGACACGGGGTCCTTTTGAAAGTTTCTGTTACTTCAAATATTTTTTCATTATTATTTATTGGTTTCAGGGAGAGAGAGAGGAAGAGAGAGTGAGATGGAAACATCAATTAGCTGTTCCACTGATTTGCGCATCCATTGGTTGATTCTTGTATGTGCCCTGAGGGGGGATTGAACCCTCAACCTTGGTGTATGGGGGTCATGCTCCAACCCGCTGAGCCACCGGCCAGGGCCCTTTAAATACTGCCAATTTTTAAAACTTCCACGCTCAGCCTGCTTCGTTGTCACGTTCTCGGCGCCCGCTCTGACTCCCTATTAACGCGTGGTGGGTGTGTCTTGTTTTCTGTGTCGTCCTCCCTCCCCCCAACCCCCCCAACCCGTAGAGAAGAGGAAAGCCAGCCTGCTGGACCAGCTGACCAACACCAGTGGGACTGTCATTGGCGTGACTTCCTGCATTGTCATCATCCTCATTATCATTTCTGTCATTGTGCAGATCAAACAGCCTCGTAAAAAGTATGTGCACAGGAAGTCAGACTTTGACCAGACAGTTTTCCAGGAGGTGTTTGAGTCCCCTCATTACGAGCTGAGTACTCTCAGAGGGACAGGGGCCACGGCAGACTTTGCCGACGTGGCCGACGACTTCGACAGCTTCCACAAACTGCGGAGGTCCTCTTCCAAGTGCGTCCACGACCACCACTGTGGGTCCCAGCTGTCCAGCGCCAAAGGCAGCCGCAGCAACCTCAGCACAAGAGACGCGTCGGTCCTGACCGAGCTGCCCCCCCCGCCCGCCAAGCCCCTGGCCCCGCCGGCCAGCAGGAGGAACATCCTGGTCATGAAACACAGCTACTCCACGGACGCCGCGGACGCCTGTGACATCGACGAGATCGAGGAGGTGCCCACCACCAGTCACCGGCTGGCCCGCCACGACAACACCGTGCAGCGGTCAGTATCATAGATTTCTCGGGGACAGCTAGAACCCCGAGGACCGAAGTGCTGCCAGAGTGTTGAGTTGGCTGTTTGTCTGCATTGCTCGGTTTCTCTTTTGATTAATGATTTAAACCAGTGTCTCTACTTCTTCCTCTTCCTTTTTTTTTTTTTTTTTAGCTTTTCACTGCCAGCCATATCTCCCACCCCTACATCTGTTCATGAATATATGTGTGAGAACATGCAGACCAAAGATACTTCATCTCTACACATATATGACATTCATTTCTACAATCGTTAGGTCGGAATTTATATTATGCACTTATATGGCTAACCTGCTTCCACATGGTCACCGATGTTGTCCCGACTGATACTTATATTTTTTAGTGTATGAAATGATATTTGGAAATAGTTGCCTTACCAAGATGGTTAACCCATCTTGTTGAAGAATTTTAATGTAGAAATAGCATATTTTGCAATACAATGTATTATATTTTGGGTATGAAAAGGAAAATACTTTTTCCCACACATAATACTTATATCACAAATCATATAGGATAGCCTGGTATGCTAAAATACTCCAATATACACATTGAAGTGTACCTAAGATTAGTAGAAACATTTCATTTTCTTTTTACCATAAAGACAGTAAAATGATTTGTATTGTACCATTATCCCTAACATTAATAAAGCTTTGGGGGAAAGAAAATCTAAATTTAGGGAAAAAATTGTTTGAAGTCCCCAAATCCCATCCACATCTGTTTTGTTTTGCATGTTTCCTAGTGTGTGGTTTGATTTATGAATGGACACGCTTCCTCCATTCACCACACCTTTTCAGAGCCTTAACTACTGCAGTTGATTGACTGTTTTTGCATGCTAATGGCCAAGACCTATGTCCATAGTTTTATGAAATTTCCAAAATGCCCTTAAGTCAATATTGGTGTGCGTATTTACTTTCTGTGCAAATAGTACTTTGTTGAGTGAACTAGACATCACGTTCCAGGTTCTGCCTCATTGGGTCTCTAAGCAGACACGACTCTGAGTACAACACTACCAGGGTCTAGAGAGGAAACGCAAGGTAAGCGGGTGCCCGCGGCCCCTCCTCCCACTCTGTCCTGTGGCCCTGTTGTGTCTTGTCGCAGCTGTGTCGTAGTGTCTTAGGGAACGGGCTATTTGTTCATCACTTCTTCCATAGAAATAGAATGGGTTCAGTGCTGATGGAAGTACATGTATCTTTAAAACAAATATTAACATTCTCACCATCAAGCATTGTACCGCAATGCTATTGGAAGAGTGTTTGATGAAGATAAATGTTACATGTTCTGAGGTGATGATGCAAAAACTAGTGACCTCATCTGACACCAGAAGACACCCAAGGTTTTCATAACTAAGTAATGGAGCATTGCCTCACTATAACCAAAATCGATCAGAGAATTGATAACAATTTTATTTGGCTATATTTTACTCCAAACTTGTACACTAAGAACTTTGTGGTATTGACCACACAACTTGTGCCCTTGTGTTTTTGCATGAATATGTAGTTTATTTCATCAAAATTCAATGCAGCAAGCATGTCATGTTGAATGCTTGATGACGTAAAACGTTTCATCAGCATCCGCTGTCTCTCTGTCCATCTGATTGGTCACCGAGGGTCACACACTTCATAGTCTGCATTGAGAGTAGACTAATTTGTGTCCGGTGAAATCGATAGCCAATCTCTTCAGAACTCTTCAGACCTAGCCACTATTTTTGAATTAGGTGAATACATTTCCGCACTCCAGATTACCTTAATAAGTTGGTGTGTTTGTGTGCATTTTTCACTGGGAGAAAATTGTTTTAACTGTGTTTTATTTTCAGAGAAGAACTATTTATACAAACACGGGGACTGTGCAAAGAAAATTCTATAGTGAATTGTGAAAAGTGGACGTATTTCTAAATCCATTCCACTGCCTTTATCCAAACTTAAGAATTGCAGACATTTGTTATTTCTTCAGCAAGACGCCCCTGCTGCACGGTGATGTGTTCATTTTGTAATTTGGTCTCTGGCCACCAAGTGCTCCTTAGTATTTGAATACATTTTGAGATTCAATGGAAACTTGAAGAAGTTAGTTCCCGGCTCAGACTCCCCAGCTCCCTCTTTCCTCTCCCTTCCACCTCGTTTCTGTGTCGCCCTGCGTCTCTGTTCTGTGGTTGCGCCTCGTGTGACGTGTGGACAAACACGACCGGGTCTGAGCTCTGTGTCACATGTGTGCTGTTTTTATCACATAGACTGCTGGGGCGTAGTGCATTCCTGCGGGATTTTGAACACGCTTCCGGAAGGCGGACCGTGGCCGCGCCAGCCCGAGCTTTTGTGGACTGACTAGAACGCCTGTTGTGTTACGATTCAATGCAGCCAAAAGTCACGAGTAAAATTACTAGACGGCAATAAGAAAAATCTTATTTTTTTCGGTCTTTTTTCTGTACCCCCACATTCCTTTTTTTTTTTTATGTATCAAAGGAAAATACCCGGGTTCAGAAATCGTTTTTGAAACCGGGCGTTTTACCCTTTGCCCCCTTCAGTAACGATGTGTTTGGATGGAGCACTGAGCAGTACGACTGGATTGACAGTCCCGGGGAGTGCCCTGCATGCCAGCCTCGGCATCTCCGTTGCGAAGACCTCCGTTCTCTCGGGCACATTGTAAAAAGCATGCATCCCGCCGATACTGCTGTCTCTTCCACTTCTCTGTGCCATCTGCTTGCTCCTTGTCACTTTTTATATCAAGAGGATATATAAAAATGTATCATAATTTCCTAACTGGAGTTAAGAGAAATGTTTTCTTTTCTTAGAGTGATAAAAAACTGACGTACCCACTTTGTATCGACTCTTCCCAGGCCGTAGGCTGCAGGAGGCCCGTGTCTCCCACATTTTACAGGAGCGTGTTCCTTTCGGAATAGGAAAGTCTTTTTTAAATGCTTTAAAAACTTCAGGCCATTTTATGACCCAAATTATACCATTCTGTGTTGTTTTTTATACTAAGGCACACATATGACAAGATGTGTTTAAATATAAATAAAATAAAATCATATCAGATATGCATCTGCTGTTGAGTTATATACCTACTCTGTCAGGTTCGAATTAGTGATTGGGTACTTTTGAAATATTGAATGTGCATCCTTAGAAAACAAATTCTAAAAGCCAGAATCACTCTAAATGTGCTTACAAGCATTTCCCAAACCCCTGGATTCTACAGAACTCTGTCCTTCAAACAAGAAAGCAATCTCTTCTGTCACAGGTCAAACCTGGTACCTGAAGCAGACCACACCCCACAGGATGAGTCATTTGCATATGCCCGTCAGGAATTCAATTTTCTATATGTCACAAAAACAAATAGATGGAAAAGAAAAGAAAATTTCAGTGACAGAAAAATTTTTTAAATGATCGTAACAATTCTGAATAGTCCATGTTGAAAAAATATCAATTCCAGAAATTCCAGTGACTACTCATATGGATTTCATAAGCTGATACATAGAAAACAATATTAAACATAATAATAAAGATATTTTTATACACATTGATTATGTTAAGATTTAGACCTTTTAATTGACTTGAGGGAGTTATTTATTATCATGGCTACTTTTATGCCCTTTAATTCATAGTACACACCTGCAGAGGTCATTTTTTGAAGCGATGAGCCGTATTTTATATTGCTTTATTTAGAAATTTTCATAGGGCCCTTTACACTCAGAACAAATGATCCCAGGAAACTGTGATACACATGCCAAGACCCTTGACGACAGCAAAAAGGCAGGAAAATGGATGCGGCGAACCCTCGCCCTCACCCTCACCTGTCCGGGAGCCCACCCGGGGACTTCCCAGATGCACAGGCTGCCTCTACTCTGCTGGTTCAACACTGGACAGAGGTGCCCACCAGAATGCCACCAATGGAGGCCTGCCACAAACAGACGAACCCCCAGCTACGCTGCCTGGAATGGTAAAGATGGGTTGCTTGTGTGTATCCAATACACAGCAAATCCTTGGGGATACAAAGGGATTTCAAACAATGAATAGGCCCCTTTAGTGATAAGACCCAAAACTATTTATCACTGGGCATCGACTAATCAGAAAAGACAGTAGGGTAATGCTGAGGCAGGGTCCCGGAGCTGGTCTGCTGTCCCTGACACGGTTCTGGACACTGGGTCTTGGGAGGGGGGCGATGGGGAATGGTTCTGATAGGAGGCTCTGTGAAAGCCAGAACTGAAATCGATCCATGTATTAAAGACTCCTGCTTATGGACGCCTTGAGACCACAGCACCTGAATACCAGCCTCTGATTTACCTTCAGTCGGGCAGATGCAGGTAGGTAAGGGGGGAGATCTTTCAAGCCTTCTGAGATGTTTCCATCTGTTTCAAATCACGTTATTTTAAGAAATAATTATATTTTTGATAAAGTGATTTCTAATAGCAGTTACATAAGTGCGTTATTAATTCTGTGTTTTCACTAATGTGATTACACCTAGTGTTAGTTCATTTGAAAATAGCCACTTTCACTTTATCTCTCTACGTTTGAATTACTTCCAAAATCTGGGAGGTGTAGCATGATGTGAAACACCTGTGAGGCCCCGAGGTGCACTTTCTGCTTCTGTCCAAGGGCTTTTCAGTTGCTAATTCAGATGGGTGCGCTGACTTGGAAATAAGATTTTTCTGTTTTATACACACGCTGATCAGGTATAAAACCTGATTTAATATATACACCGTTCTATGTGTCACACTGCAAAATAGACATGTAATGTTTGATTTGCCATAATTAACCTCCTTTTAATTGGATTAGCAAAATATGGCTATGAACCTAATTGGAGGTCAGTGGCCTTGGGCTTTCAAAGAACAATCCTCATTGGGTAGATGCCAGCTTTTCTGTTTCACATTATTTTTTCTACTAAAGTTATCTCAGCGGGCCTGACTCTGCAAACTGTGTTTCTTGCTGTTTAATACAATTAGATCTTTGAGATTACCTAAACATTCACTTGAGCTATTGTGTCAAATTTTCCTACATTTTTTCCCCTTAGGGATTTGGGTTTTCCTCAAATTGGATAGTGTTTTTTAAAAAAATTCCATTAATAGATTTTTCTCAACCCAAGAATATCATAATAAATTGTACAACATGATACTGATCTGTTATCTTTATTAAAGTAATAGCAAATAATTCATTGATGTTCTGGTGATAAATGAGATCATTTTATCTTATTATGAAGTTTGTATTTTTAATGATGAAAATTCTGTCAGAATCCAACTCTGGGGGGGAAGTTTAATAAGCAAAATCTTTAAATTATCTGAATCCTAAATGTATATGATTTGAAAAGTAGGTGGCAGGTCGGGGCCACCTGGCTGAGGCTGACCCACGAGCTTCCAGGTCACATTTACTGACACTCCCTCCCTGCGCCCAGTTCTGGCTGTTTTGTGACCCAGAAGTCCCCGCCAAGAAATTGTTAAACAGTCGAAAAAATGAAAGAAGACTTAAGTGTAATTTATTGAAGTTGTTTTTCAGTAATTTGAGGCTTTTTGTTAATTTAGAATTACCCTGATTAATTTTATTAATGACCTGAAGTTGCACTGTGGGTTTCTTCCACTGAATAATATTATTCCAGTAAATCAAACGGTAAGAAAACAAGCACAGGTGACTGGTGTCAGACACTCCTACCATCTGATTTTTTATTGTGGGCTTTGGTTCTCTACTACCTTGTAGGCTACTAAAGAAGCAAATGCCCCCTGAATTTGTCTTTAATTCTTCTGAGGTGTGAATAATAGACCTGACCTGCTTCAGACGCCTGTCAGTAACCAGGGCGGTTTCCAGAATGTTCTCACTGCTGCTCCGCATAATCGTGGAGTTACACCACTTCTTTCTATCCTCGAATGTTAATCACAGTAAAATGCTCTTGCTGGGTTTTGACCCTTACCCTCTGTCCCAGCTCTGAGGCACATGTTACGTTGGCTCATTCCTTGGAAAATTGTTTGTTTTGCCCTCCTCTTAATAGTCACAGATATAGACACAAATTTAAAAGTGACCAGAAGGTGTAACGTATGCATTACTTAACAGAAAACATTCTTATTTCATTGCATGATAAAATGTGTACTCTTCATTCACTTTTTCATAAGTTTAATATTAACATAGCCGACCTTTCTGAGCCCACACACTCGGTGTGCGAGGGTTCTGAGTGCTTTGGGCATGAGACCAAAACAGTGGCAGTCTAGAGGGACCAGGACTGTGGAGCCCTCCCGAGGATTGTGGGGCGATAGAGGAACAGTGCTCAGAAGAGCCAGGTGAGGCCAATGAAGCCCAAGGTCATTGGCTAAGTTTTCCACCTCAAAAAGCTCATTGCTTTCTTATAATTTTGTAGAGAAGGTAAAATAGAGTCAACTGTCTACAGAATACCATACAGATCCTGTTTTCTAATATAGAAGTTATTAGCATAGATGTGGGCATAAAAATATGTTCTCAAGGGGATCAAGAGAGGCTTAGTTGTGTAGCTGTCCTTCCTAAGCAGGTCCCGAAGGCTGGAGACCGTTGTTGAGCAGTGTGGGATTTCCACCTGGGGAGGGGGGAGCGGGAGGGCCGTGCGCTGGAGTTGGCTGGGGCCGCTGAGCAGACGAAGAAGTAGCAGTAAATATGGTGGTAAGAGCAGCTGACGTTGCCCATCGTGAGCCTCTGTTAGGCCATCCGAGGGGGCTCAAACTGCATTCAAAGGAGGACATTCACACGTCTCTTAGCAAAGTAGGTCTTAAAAATCGTGCTTTCGGTGGGATTCTCGTTCCGCAGTGTGTTTGGTCAAATTCAATGAGATTGGAACAAGGAAAGAAAAGAAAACATTGCAGAAAAAAGACATTTAAAAAGAATATATAACTGGTGAATTGTTAGATATCTAGCTATAACTGTCTCGCCTTTCTGCCATATTTTATCATCTTAAGAGCACGGTTGACTAGACAGCATTTGAAGAGCTATATGCTGAACCCCATGGGGGTGTTTTACGTGTGAGTATTCTCTTAGCTATTTTAGCAACTCTTTGATGAATAATGGTAAGACTTGTTATGGTGGTGGTGGTGGTTATTGTTATAATTCCACTGTACATAGGAGAAAACTGAAGAGACTTTCAGTAACTTAGTTCTAAGATTGCACCACACGGAGGAAGTCCAGCTCCGAACAGATTAACCCCAGAGCTAGCCAGCAACCCCTAGCATGTGGACTATGGCCCTGTGGCACCCAACACAGCATGTTTCACCGATAGAGTTGGCACTTACTCATCACCACCCCAAAGTGTTCTGTGTTCTCGTCCGTAAAAATACGTATTGTAGCCCCTTCTCTCCACCCTACTGCATCTGAGATCAAAGGACAGCACACTGGAAGATGCCTTTATACCCTAATATGTCATGGATAAATCGTTTTCCTCAGTTCTGTGCAAAGTTCATTTCCTGATCAACACGGTGCAAATGCACCATCGGTAACAACTGGTCAGGAAGAATGACCTCTCTAAGGGCATTTGTAAATTCTACCCTGAAAATCTTTGCTTTGCTGATGAAACTTTGCCAACTTAAATTTCACAGTATAAAAATGTATTTGGCCAGGTTATTCCTGGAATATTAGTTCTATAGGATGAGATATTCAATTGGATATGGTCACAATCCACAGGTTTATAATAAGCGTGTGTTCCCTTTTGTGCCGATGCTTTCCCAGGGGCCCGGAAGCCCTCCCTTTGTGAGCAATTCCAGAGCATGTCCAAGAAGGGTTAAAAACTTAAATTCTAACTAATCAGCCACGGGACTTGGAAAGTTAAAATTTTAAAACTCCAGTTTGTCACAGGGAATGACTTCAAATCTCATCACCCAGTGATAAGAGTTTTAATCTTTCTCATGTCACCCACTGTCAAATTTCTATCTCAACAGAACAGGCCTCTGGGAGGTGGACTGAGTAATTCTGACCTACTCAGTGGTCTGTTTAAGTTGCAGTTTCTGATTCGATATGGGGAAAAGAGCCATTTTTCTGTCTTAATCAGATG